AGAGGGACGAGGCACCCTTAGGCGCGCCCAAGGCGCCACTACCCGCACTCACGCATTGCGAGACGAACGTAATGTCCCTCACGAGGAGCGGGCGGAGACGCTCCTCGACCGTGTCAGATATCCGTCAAGCTGCGCAGAGCCTAGGTTCCCTTTGCCGCACGGGACTTAACCCACCTGTATTGCCACGTCCTACACCCACGCATGGGGAGGTGCAGGCGGAGACATTCCACGCCCTGGCAAGTGTCCATGAGCCGCCAAGGTCAGCCCATCCCCAGGTGAACCCTTCAACCAACGCCCGCATCTGCGCTACCCATCAATCAAGCCACGGAGTAGGAGGGAGAGGAGGAGGAGGAGAAGGAGGAGGAGGAGGAGGAGGAGGAGGAGGAGGAGGAGGAGGAGAAGAAGAAGAAGAAGAAGAAGAAGAAGAAGAAGAAGAAGAAGAAGAAGAAGAAGAAGAAGAAGAAGAAGAAGAAGAAGAAAAGGAGAAAAGGATGGACATAGTATTCCAATACAGAATTACTCACCTAATAAATCCTGGGCGAGAACGTAGCAGCAACTGTAAAACAAGAAAAAAGGATGGCGTTAAATATTGGCACCCTAGGAGGAGGATAATCAACCTACCTCATGAATACTGAAAATAATGGTTATAATATCAGGGTTTAACACTGTATATACTTTGAAACTTAACGTCAACTCAGATCACATAAATTACCAGTACAGAGTTCTTCTCAGTTCATACAGGCATAATTCTACAACTTAAATGAATCTCTCAAGTAACAAAAATAATACATACTGGATTCTTCATCAAAATATCAATCATGCAACCTTAATATAACAAGTACCAGTGAAATATAACAGAGTATCCTTTAAACAAAGAGAATGTATTTTGGGGGCAACAAAGAAAACTAATATTTTGTAGAGTAGACTATTATATTTCACACTTTCCCAATCTTAGTGAAATAAGATATACATTGTAAGTGCAGCAGCTCAGTTAAGAAAGTAAAGATGAATAAAAATACTTTAAAAGATTATGTTTCAAAGTTGAATGCACAGTCGGGAATTGAAACCAAGACCTAGTGTAGGGGTTTGGAGGTAAATTACATTCTTTGTACTAGTTCATTTATCCTATTATTATAGTGTTATGTTTTCTAAGTTTGTTAGCATTCAAAGATGTACTTCAACTGAGTTAAGTGTGTGAATTATTGCTGGTTTGATAGTATATATGACCACGTTGCCACAGTTGTTACGTTCCACATTGTTTTGTTAGAAGTTTTACGTATGAGTACTGATATGGAAAATATGGATGGACATTTAGAAATTGTATTTCATTAGCAATGGGAATAAAAGAAGAAGCAATAAGAATATTTTTTTTTCCAGAATCCATTGAGGTATTCATTTAATAAACAAATTCCAACAAAAAGGGCGATATATAGAACTGTATAACAAAAATGGTAAAATGATGTACCATCTTTCTAAGTAGTACTATCTTACATAGCTAAAGACTAATTAAATTTGAGGTGTACATAAGCGGTAACCTATACATAAAGACCAAGTAAGTAGGATATACAAAGGGTGGTTTATAGACGATTTTTTTTGGGATATTCTGCCTTCACATCCCTTATGCTCATTACATGTACTTGAGAAGAAAAAATTCAAATATTCCCAATGGCTATCAAAAACGAAAAAAAAAAAAAAAATCTTCGTGTTCATAGTTTGTTTCTTTGAACTTTAGATAATGAATGATCTAGAAATAGTTTAAACAAACAAACAAACAAACAAACAAACAAACAAACAAACAAACAAACAAACAAACAAACAAACAAACAAACAAACAAACAAACAAACAAACAAACAAACAAACAAACAAACAAACAAACAAACAAACAAACAAACAAACAAACAAACAAACAAACAAACAAACAAACAAACAAACAAACAAACAAACAAACAAACAAACAAACAAACAAACAAACAAACAAACAAACAAACAAACAAACAAACAAACAAACAAACAAACAAACAAACAAACAAACAAACAAACAAACAAACAAACAAACAAACAAACAAACAAACAAACAAACAAACAAACAAACAAACAAACAAACAAACAAACAAACAAACAAACAAACAAACAAACAAACAAACAAACAAACAAACAAACAAACAAACAAACAAACAAACAAACAAACAAACAAACAAACAAACAAACAAACAAACAAACAAACAAACAAAAAATCTTCGTGTTCATAGTTTGTTTCTTTGAACTTTAGATAATGAATGATCTAGAAATAGTTTTAACGCATTTCCGTTGTAAAATGGAAGTACGGCTATGGTTCTTTAGTGAAAAACATAAACACCGTAGACATGTGGGGTGCAACTAATACCGAATTTCAGACTAAAATGGCGGATAATGCTTCTCCTAAGCGTTCAAAAAACAACAACAACAACAACAACAACAACAAAAACGTGTTGGTACTTTCCTTAATCTACCCCCTTATTATTTGAAGGTATATAGAAACAACACCAACAAAGTTTAATCTAATAATGGTCCGGTGCGGGTAAAACGGATTAGATACAATATATTCGACCTTGATAACTTCAAATAACACTAGAAACTTATTTAATAGGCAGAAATGTAAGCTAAATTTCTTACCTCTATTTTAGCCACGAGGAGAGGAAGGAAATGCCAAAATGTTTCGCCTATTTTATCTTTCGCTTTCTTATCACTGGCACAAGATTATAGATTTTTTTTTTTTTTTTTTTTTCTTAGATTTATGCGATATCCTGGACAGCATCTTCTAACAGATGTTCATGTGACTCCTGAAAACAAAAAGTAATTTAGAAGATGATAAAGCGTAAATGAATAAAATAGTTTTCTGATCTTTGCATATTACAGCAGGGTTACCAACCACACAGATGCGTAATTTTGGGATGGTCGATAGATTCAAATCGTTATTTCACAGACGGCTAGGCTTGTTTGCCTCCAAATATTATGCATCTAAATACTTTCCCTGAAGACAAGGCCGTCAAACGTAAATAATGGAAGCGAAATAAAATACGGCATTATCCAATTTGTTTAATTAATTCAACAAGTCTTTTTTTCGTATTTGCATATGATGAACATGCAATTTAATTCTCAAATTTCCTAAGCCTGAAAGATTACAGGAGTAGTTTCTATCATTATTACGTTTTCTATGTCTTTTATTGATGTCAGATGAGTGATTTTGGGTTTTCTGTAGTAATGCCTCTGGACTTATCCTTTCCCTTATGTTAGTCTAGTTCTAAATCCTTTGATTAGTTGATATCTCTATTATAAATGTACAAGGATTTTTTACCTAAATATTATTGTCTTACATTATGCTTAGATTGGCGATATATCATCTGGCACATTAGTTTTTATGGTAATCAAAGAACAAAATCTATCTATCTATCTATCTATCTATCTATCTATATATGTCTTTGTTTAATCTTATTCTTGTAGAATCCAAGGATACTAATAATATGGGTTTCATCATATTTTTGTTCGTTGAGTTTGATTTTATACGTCTACGTTAGAAATGAATTAAATTTTCATAATGCCTTTAACAACCATAAGAAATAAGGGACTAAATACGTTCCTTGTTTGTGTATTTAAAAAAAAATCTAATGAATAGAGCAATAGCATTTACTACTTATAAAACTTATCACAAAATCCTCCACTCTCTAAATAAAGATATTCATAAGCATACAGATAACCAGGGTATTCATATTAATAGATATTCTGTACAAATATTACACTCGAAGCAGAGAGAATCCGGAGTTTTAAATATGTTTACCTTATATTTACTGAATATTTTCTGTACAGTATGAGAAAACGTCTTTTTTCTGGGTAACTTTTCCGTTTTCATTTTTCCTTTTGATTTCCTTTAATTATAATTTTCTACAATAGCGTCACATAACCGATCGCAACGACTAAGGTATCCTTCTGTAATATACATATATGTAGGATATATTCCCCGGACACCCCCCCCCTCCCCAAACTTCCACAATCTTGGCCCCGATAGTAGGGGAGGGCATGAAAGGTACCAGGGAATTTAGGGGGTAAGCTAACAATAGTTTTGTAACCTAATGATAATAACTCACTATACTGTTCACAGCAGGCACTATAATGACTACTACAGGGGCTGCCGTCCCCCTACCCCCCCCCCCCCCCAGGATAGCAAAGAATCGTCCATATCTTCATGGTGGGAAGAAAGAGCAAGAAACTGATACTTCATAGGGTAAACTATCATATTTTACACCGATTCGTTTGTTTCCTTAAGCTTAGTGTAATAATATAAAGTATCATCTTTCTGAGAGAATGGTTAAGTACTACTATAGCTTACATAGCTAGTGAGGTAAATGAGGTAGAAAGGTGGGTTATAGACGAAATTTTGGGTCATTCTAACTTTACATCACGTGTGTTCATTACAACACACATACATACACACACACACGTACACACACACACACACACACACACACACACACACACACACACACACACACACACACACACACACACACACACACACACACACACACACATACACACACACATACACACACACACACACACACACACATATATATATACATATACATATACATATATATATATATATATATATATATATATATATATATATATATATATATATATACATATATATACGGGTATATATATATTTGTGTGTGTGGGTGTGTGCATATATATATGTATTTATGCATGTATGTATGTATGTATGTATGCATGTATGTATATGTGTATATGTGTATATGTAAGTTTGTGTATGTATATATATATACATATATAAGTATGTATGTATTTTTGTATGTATATGTTTATATATGTCATATATATACATATCTATCTATCTAACTATCTATCTATCTATCTATCTATATATGTATGAATATGTATAGGTATATGTACATGCATGTATACCCACACACACACACACACACACACATATATATAC